ATCGAGGTACTGTTTTGGGTCTCTTGATGGAGTCAAATTCAAACAGTTCGGTGCAGGTCCGACGATTCCCGTTTTGACTTCGAAATTGACCCGTCTTCGTTTGTTGTGATTTTGGTGTCTAAACAACCGTACTAACGTTGTGATCCTATATTCGATAAAGTGGAAGCGTTCAAGGGTAGTTCGGGAAGGAAAAACTCCGACAAAGTGATTTAGAGCATGCGCGATCGACCTTAAGGTAGGCTACGACTTCCTTTAGATTAGATTGAGCTTAATTGTGTAAAAGCATATCGATTGGAGTGAATTATGGGTGGGTACTTGTTTCCTACTTTAGTTTGATTGGATACCTTATGTTATGATCGATTGGCCATACTTCGGGTATAGTATCATGTTAACCGGTTTAGTAGAGTTTCATGCTTATGTGCTAAATGCTATTGTATGCTTGTATGTTATGTGCTATATGTTTTGCCCATCCTTAACCGTAATCATGATGTCCTTAGTCTAGGTTAGACTAGCAGTGCCTTAGACTTATGACCCGTGTGGACTGGATAGCCTTGACTTTCTGCCGACGTCGTTCGGATGACTTGGCTCCTTGTAGACTAGAGTAGCAGACTTGAGTCTGATAGTTTGAGCCTTAGATTAGGCGTTATCGTTGCTTGCTGCACTTTTGTATCTTCTCTCTCTAATTTTGCGGTTTCAACAAGTTCTCGAAGGTTCGGTGCATCACTAGCGGCGTGGGATTGAGATAGTATAGGCTTAGAGCCTTTTCTGTGATTTCTTGGAGTTGACGGTGTTCCACGGTAGTTATTGCTGGATTGGATCCTATTGGAGATACTATCACCCCCGGGGTCGTTCTTTCTAACTGGGCTAGGAGCGTATCGTTGGCTGGGTAGACTCGGTGATTTCGGCGATCGCCCCCAGGCCTCTCTTTCTAGCTGGGCTAGGAGTGTGCTGCTGGCTGGGTGTCCCCGGGTCGCTCTTTGTAGCTGGGCTGGGAGCTGACTGCATGGTAGGACGACTCGCGATATCAACCTCACCCTCGGGTCCCTCTTTCTAGCTGGGCTGGGAGTGGACTGTTTGGTAGGGTGCCCCCTAGGGTCACTCTTTCTAGCTAGGCTGGGAGTGCACTACTGGCTGGGTGGAGTCTAATGGATTATCTTGGTTACTTGGGGCTGGGAGCTCGGTTTTCTTCTTTTTCATTAGACTTAGTTATTATGTGTACATATCGGGTTTATGGGGGTCCGTTAAAGTTTTATTTAAACTTGCACACGAGTGTACCTTTTGGGCTTATGGGGGTCCAGTTAGGTTTAGTTTAGTTGTACTTAGTTTATTTCTGGTATGCTCGTGTGCTTTCTTTTCATAGCCATTTTGACCTCTCTGTGTCTAGATTCTATCATTTCTTATTGTTTTTACCCCTTTTGCTCAGTCGGTCTTTGATACCTACTGAGTATCTGTTGTGTTGGTACTCATGCTATGCTCTGCATCTATTTCGTGATGCATGTCCCATTACCAGTTACCAGCGGTGAGTAGTTCCAGCCTTCTTTTACAGCTGTGATTCGGAAACGAGGGCGAGCACTTGGCGTTTTGGGTTTGTCTTGTCTCCTTCTTTTGTTTTAGCTAGTCTTGTTGTCTTTGAGACACGCTTTGTTGTGGTCCACTTTTGGAACTTGTACTCTTTATTAGATAGCTCTCTACTAGTGACTTCCAAGTTCTTGGAGGAATTTCTGTATATATTTATTTTGGTTTGTTTCCGCGTTGTTGTCCTTGTTTAGATTATTGTTTTCGCTAGTTTCTGCCCTTACGCTCATTGCTTGATGTTCTGGGTTACGGGATGGCACCTACTATTGATATAGCGTCCATACAAGAATTAGCCATATCACAAAGCATCAAATTTAGAACATGATAACCACTTGATGTATAAAATGATCTAGAATTTATATCAAAAAGTTTTTTTTGCACTCCGTGGTGTTTTCCCTTCATATTAGATCCATTATCATATCCTTGTCCTCTTAAATTATCAATATCTAGACCAATACATTTTATTTCATCTAATAACTTTAAAAAAGCATTTTTCTACTTGTATCATCCACTTTTAAGAATTCTAAAAAATATTCGATTATATTTATTGAAATTGCCGAAATATCTACACTCCATATTATGAAAGACATTTGAACTTGATGACTTGTATACCTCATGTAGTCAAGTATAATAGAGAAATATTTTATTTTTTTAACTTTCTCAATAATCTTATTCTTAATTTTACTTGCTAATAAATTTATTGATTCATTTTGTATATTAGTCCAAAATAATGATTATGAATTTCATCATGTTTGATTCGTCAAATATGTTCTTGCATAAAATTCAGTAATCATTCCAATAAGATTTAAGAAGTTTTCATTATTTTCTTGATAGTTTTTTATTTTCCCCCCTTAACGCCAATTGTTTTTTCCAAGAGCTCCTATAACAAAAATAATTTCTGACAATTCATTTTGTCAATGTTTTCCATCTCTATTAATTTGGTCATGAATGTTTTTATCAATTGTTTTATTATTACGCAATTAAAATTCTAAATCAATCCATTAACTCATATTAATGATATGTTGGTTGGTTGTTTCACGAGTTCTAAGCTTAGTAGTAAGATTTTTCCAATCTCTATTACCTTCATTAGCTATTTATTATTCTTAGCATTGAATGTCGAATTAAATAACTTACAACAAAAATAAAATACCTTATTCAAATCTTTGAAATAAATTAACCATCTTCTTTCATGTCTTTCTCTATTTGTTAACTCTTGAAAATAATATATGTAGTAGAAAAGTGTCTTAAAAATTTATTCTTTGAAAAAACATGTGTCGATAATTCTCATTAGTCTCTTTTCTACTAATAAACTCTCTTAACTTTGTATCAACATTATTCTATTGACTAGGATCATGGATGTTTCTAAGAGTATAATTATTTAATTCATTTATAAGTTCTTGATTTTCTTGGAAATCTACATCTGATTCCTTCTTCCTTTTTGATTATATCATTATTTAACTCAATTTCAATTAAGTTAGTGACTTGTTCTTCTAAAGAGCATTCCCCTACATTTTTTTAATTTAATTTTGACATTATTTTTCAAAAAATTATCAATAGCACCTTTTTGAGATTTCAAGTTATTGACTTTTCTTTTTCTTTTAAATTTTGAATGACTATATTCATATTTTCTAGTTGACATATTAAAATTCTAACAAATATTTTAAACACTATCTACAATATCAAATAAAAAATATAATAAACATAAGACACAAAATAAAATAATATTAGAAATTAGAATGATATTACCTGATTCAAGAACTATGAAGACTTAATTTCCAAAAAAGAATTGAGTTGTTGCGATATTTTTTTTTCAAAATTTAAAACATAAACTATGTTATTTTCAAGTTGAAATTATCAATAACAAATAAATTCTTAAGCTTTGAAGAAGAAAAATAGGATGGAAGATTAGAAAAGAGAAAGAGAGAAAGGAATAGAAGAGAAAAAGAAAGAAGGATAGAATATATAAAATCAATAAAAAATAAGGTAAAAAAAATGATAACGTGTAAAAAAAAAATTAAAAAAGTATACAATATTTTTTATTGAAAAGGAAAAAAGTGAATAGTCATATCAAGTTTACATCTCTGTTTGGAATTGGACTCCTCATTTTACTTTTTTTAATTATTTTTTTTGAGTTTAGTCTTAACTAATAAACTAAAAAATGAGACCACCCATGTTTGGGGGTCTAATGCCCAACGACTTTTCTTCAACACATGTCAGCTGCCCTTGCTAATATTTAATGAATAACGAATTTCGTTCGTTAGATTAATTAACTGGTTGATATATTGAATTAAATCTCATCAATTTTTATAAATTGGACCATTCTTTCTTCATCCATTAGGGTTATCACATATTCTCTACATTTTGGCATTACTGTTGACTATGATAATGTAACATTAGAGTAAGGAGATAGACAATTTTCAACTAATAGTTTCGCTCCTTTATATGTGATTATATCTTTTACTTCAAATATTTTTTTGTACGTTTAAATTAAAATTACGTATGGTATCAGAGCTTGAAATTTGAATTGATATTCTTCACAAAAGAAAAACTCTTTATCCAAAATATATAATCTAAATTCCAATTATTTTCTATTAAGATACACTTACTCCCTTCATTTTATTTTACTTGGTTTTATATATATACTAGAATAGGTGTCTGTGCTAGCACGGGCCCAATATTTTAGTATTGTTTTGTTTTAATTTATGTGATATAGGTAGAATTTAGAAAGTTGATTAAATTTTAATATGATTTTTAGATATTTAAGTTGTTAATTACTTTTTGTTTGCGCAAATTTATTGTGAAAAGGTCCATTAAGATCTCCATAATTAATATATTTTTCATCATCAATTGTTGACTTTTTACTCAAAGTAGTTACAAGATATAAACAAATATTACCGACGTTCAAATTAATAAAGCAATAACTAAATTAACGAATATGAATTTAAAACTAAAAGTCATAGCTAAAACGGATTCCATAATTTCAAAAAAACTATACATTAATTAAATTAATGTTGAACAAAAAAAGTAATTTTTTTTTAAAGAAATTTCTGAAACACGCTGAATCAGGACAGAGACGTGCATGCTTCAGCGTGAAGTCTTGAATTTGAAACTAAAAGTCATAGCTAAAACGGATTCCATAATTTCAAAAAAATTATATACTAATTAAATTAAAGTAGAACAAAAGAAATAAATTTTTAAGTTTTTTTTAAATAAAAACACGCTGAAGCATTCGAAAAAATTATACACCAATTAAATTAAAGTAGAACAAAAGAAATAATTTTTAATTTTTTTTAAAAAAAAACACGCTGAAGCAGGCACGTCGACGGAGATGTGCCTGCTTCAGCACAAACTGTCACTTATATAATAAGAGAATATATACACTTCTAATTTTTTTTGGGAAGCCGCACACTTGAGTCACTCCTGTTCTTTTCTTCTCTTAGCATTGTTTTGTAATACTCCCTTTTCTTCAATTTAGATACTTTCTAAATGGGAAAAAGTCTATTTTAAAAAAATACATATAAGATTTATATCAAATAGTTGACCCTCATACTTTGAATCGAAAATTAGTTTTCCAACACTAAACTTCATCATTTTTCTCAGTCGCAAGTCTCAAGAGGATGTCACATATAATTTCCCTGATATGACAAGACAAGAGGTGCTAGAGCTATTCTTTTTTTCAATTTGTCAGTTACCTTTTAACGGGTCCATTTTTGTTTGCTTGCTCATTTTCTCTTTCTTTTGTTTGTTGTTTTTAAGGTATATGATACATGCCTTTTGCGCTATAGTGCAATGCCAAGGCAAAAGCAAAAAGAATACGAGGAGAAACGGACAATTGAGGACGGTGGAATATGTTTGCATCGTTTCGATATGTTGGGGAAAAAATGGGTAAGTCGTATGTTTGGTCATTAGTCGTATTTTCTCAAATGTCTAGTGTAGTTTCATTCTTTCAACTTAAGGGACTATTTTGAACATACATTGAAGCATAATTGATCATTTATGTCATTTTCTCTATTAAGTTTAATATACAAACTTGCTGTGAATTTTATGAGAAAATGATACTGTATAGGCGCTGCTCCCAAAATAATAACCAAAAAATGTAAATAGTTTTGTTCGACTAGCCAGTTTTTATACTTGTTTTTGCCCTTTCTAATAACCGTGGCCGAATGTAGTTTTTTTTGTTTTGGGATAGAAGTGTGATTTTGGTAATTAAAGGACGACTCCATTTCATGTGATGTTTGATTGAGATTGTTTTTTCTAGTCAAAGTTATTGCAACCTGGAGATGTTAAAGTAAAGCACGCGTCAAAGGAGAAAATTGAAGCTTACTTAAAACAGATGCCAAGGACAACAAAAGTTGAGGTCGTAGAAAGAGAAGGAGGACAATTTATAAACGTTCTGGATATTAAACGTTGCAATGAAAGTAAGCTTGTAAAGCTAATCAACTGCAGGTGGAAGGATTTGACAGAAGCAAAGAATTTTCAGGATGAAGTAACTCGAGCTTTTAGAGGCCGGGTGATACCGGTGAAAGATATTAATGTGGCTTGGAAAAATTTGGGAAACAACCTGAGGGTGAAAAACTTCAAGCAAACAATGTTTAAAGTAGCTATTTTCACCGAGGCCGAATATGCAATGCAGTGCCGGTTGAAAGAAGGCGTGCTTTACTCTTTCTCTTCATATTAGTAAGTAAATATATTATATTATTTTGCTCGTCTCTTATTTTTATAAATTTCAACATTGGATAATGTTGTCTCTTTTTGTAGTTGCGAGTTTGAGGACGTTGTCAAAACTGAATTCCCTGATATGACAAAAAAGGAGGTGAGCTATCATCAAACATTGATTTCTTTAATTTTTAAAATCTTCTCATCGATTCATTTTTGTTGTTTTAAGGTATATGATACTTGTCTTTTACGCTACGTTATGGCACCAAGGGAGATTCGACATATATATAAAATACTGAGCACAAGAGATGAGTGCAGAAAATTGTGCGATTCTCGTTTTGGGGAAACTCTACGAGTATAAGTTGTATTTCGTGCATTAGACTGTTGCTTGTAAAGTTAGAATAGTTGAATTTGCATTGGTAGTTGTTGTCGTAGTAGAGCGGTCTTCTCTTCTCTTACTACCGCTACAACGATTGATGTTTTGATTCATTTGTTGCTCCCGTTTTTAGTCTGAAGAGGGAATGTGTTTATGTCTTCATTGTTACAAGAAGGTAGCTTGGATATCAATTTGTTATGAAAAACAATTATTCCCTCAAAATATGTTTCATTTTATGTGATTGTATTTTGGTTGGATATGGAGTATTTTAAGAGACTTCTTGTCTAAATCTTGTGGTTTCAACAAGTCAAAGATGTGTGTGGTTGGTCCTAAACATCTCATTATGGGATAAGGTGAAAATTTTGAAGTTAAAACAATTCTCACTAGTCACTAGTATATAATCTAATCCATTTTATGTGATATATAATCTATTTTTTTGGAAAAATTACCTTGTCTTATATTACATCATATAATTAGGAATTACTCATAATAAATGTGTTTAACTACGGAGAATAATCTATTTTGGGTTATTATAAATTGAGCTAAAAAGATGATAAATAAAGTTAATAGGCTGACATTTTGCATAATTTTCCCGCAAAACAACCTTTTATGTGATAAACATCTTCTTGATTTTCTATTGAAATCTATCAACTTTAATCAAAATATGTCACTGAATGCTATCAATTTCTCTTCCAAACATTCTAGTTCTTGACGTCCACACTAAAAGGTACAACTTAGGATGAGTATAAAAAAGTTCATGGTTTAACAAATCAAGAAAAATTTCTTCTACAAAAAAAAAGAAGTAAATATCGAATCAGATTTTTGTATTTCAAATTATCTTACAGCAATATCACTTTCATTCCAACTCCAATGTCATAACATCAGAGAGAAATGTGGATGAATTGGGTAGAACCAACCTATAAGGAAAAAAAATAAAATTCAAGATGGTTTAATCGTTTACATCATAAATATGAATCGACTAACAATCACATCGAACAATTTGGGAATCAAAGAATTATGTTCAGTTAAGCAGCGACTATAAATCATGAAGCAGAGGATAGAGGATCCACATTCCGAATCCTTTAATGCCAAAGCTTTAGGCAAAACCCTGCCGGAACTACAGAAGCTCTCTTGCTTGAAATAACATCAGAGAAAGTATCAACCAGCTGCCCGGCAAGTGATGCTGGATCTTCGATTAGGGTATCAACAAATGCCTTGACAATCCTAACATCTTGTGGTGTAGCTCTTAAGCTATACCAGGTTAAGAACTTCTGCCTGAATGTCTTGTCAATATGTCCACCACACTCTAACCATCGAACTACTTTGACGTAATACTCAAAATCCTTATCTCCAGTACCAGCACATTCTTCATGCCATTCTCCAACTCTCTTCTTCGAAGAACAGCCAACTTGTGGTCCATCCTCCTTCCCTGATCCATTATCGAGATCCTTGCTGCAATGTTCTGATTTTCCTTTCCGCCCAAGACTTCCCTTCACATTCTCCATCTTGCAGGGCGTAATAGGTAAGCCAGCTTCCACACCACCTACAAACGGTGTAAATTCTAAGGCAGTCTGGAGAGGTGCATTTGACCCATTATCAGTGCTCGTCTCTTCTGTTGTTTGAACATCTGAACACTGCTTGTTCTCAAGATTTACAGCATCAGTATTTGGCAAGGAGGTTACTTTTACAATGCTATCTTCCTCATCACCTAAAGATACCATTACTCCTTCATTTCCTATATGACTTTTACTAGCAAAGGCGATCATGGTGCAACACAAGTCTGTAGAAATTGCTTTATCAGTGTTATCACAACAAGAAAGACAATTATCCCCTCTGTTCTCATCCTCATTGCTGCATAGCACGATGTTATTAGTTTCATCCTCCACTGAAGAAGGATTAGAAAGGTTGCTGCAATTTGTTGGTGGACTTTGACTTCTTTCAACTTCTAAGCTTTTCATGTTCAGATTAGATAGTTCATTTCCAGCTTTACTGGTGCAGAATTGAACTTCAAACATTCCCAGTTCTCTCTTGCTATCAAGGGAAATAATCTTGAGAACATAATCTGTAGCTGGCATCAGATCTGAGAGCACAAACCTAGTGTTTGGGGAAAACAATGTTCGAGTTGGTTCTACTGGATATTCCGTTTCAACAGCTTTCCGATGCCACAAAGTGTAACCAACAACATTCTCCATAGATGACCCTTCAGAACTCAAAACAACGGTCACAGATGAGGTAAAGACATCCTCAAATCTGACGAGCTTTGATTCTATCACCTCGCAATCTAAAAAATATAGCCCATGTAAATGCTGATTACTTCACTCGACTTAAATCAAATGAGTACCAAGCTTAGACAAAGAAACCAATAAAGGCATCACAATAACACATGAAGAGAAAGGGGAATCTACAGAATCAATAAAAAGATAAGGACAGTATCTATGTACTGCACAAACAAACCACAAATTAGAATGAGTATTACCTTTGACCTTAGCATTAGATGGCATTTCAGACACTCTCTCAGAGAGAAGGGCATCTATGTACTCAACAGCCAAGCCGCAAAGTTGCTGAACAGCAGGGCCAAATGAGAGCCTGTTCACTATACCTCTAGCCATCTTCACAGGCAAACCAGTCAAAGGGCCAACATCTGCTTCAAGCTTGTTCACTGCTTCATCAAGAACTTCATACAGCTTTGGGCAATTTTCGGCTCCAAAAGAAATTTTTTGGCTCAATGAAAGCCTATAACATAATATGTCTACGCGCCTGGTATCTCTTGCTACAATCAGTTGTTTTTTCAAGGAACTGCAAGAATTGGAGAAATAGAACATCTTTAATCCTAAATAATAAACATAGCTTGCATTTTAATTATAGAGGTCTGTATCTCACAGTAAATAAAAGAGTTTATGTACATGTCATTAGTTCTTTGACATTTTTCCTTTATGGATTCAACAACCATCTCACTAAACTAGTCAGCCGCATCCTGACAATAGTGGAAATAGTTCACTGTAATTCAATAATGCAATTGAAAATTAACTTCACAACAGAATTTTTTTAACATTTTGTAGCAGAGTCCAAGGAAAACACGTAGGATAATTATAGGTCAATTGCCAACTAAGATAATGCATAATAATGAGGTTCCTCAGGGAACACACTGATCTACAAAAAAGCATTAAAGAATCTACGAACAACAACAATTAATACACCTTAGTCCCAAAAAAGTTGGGGTTTGCTAAATGAATCCTCATTGATCATGTTATCCATTTAAACTCATGTCATGCCAATATTATGCAAATACAAATAAAAAGTAATAGAAGTTCTCCATAATTTTTTGAACCTACAAATCTTTGAAATGCTAAACCACTACTATAAAGTATAGGGCAGTAAAAGTGCTAACTTGTCTAAAACATATTTTCAACTAATAGGCATTGACTACAACAATAACATAACCCGTGTAGTCCCACAAGTGAGGTGTGAGGAGAGTAGGATGTATGTAGACTTTACCCCTACATTTGTGGGGTAGAGAGGTTGTTCTGATAAACCCTCGCCTCAAAAGAACAGGCATCGACTATCTAGATTTATTTATCCACTGTGCCCCACTTCGCTATGTCTGCATGGGTTCCCAAAGATTTTAGGTCCTTCAATGCATTTTCCTCCTCTTTTAACACTTACCCTCACAATGGTTGCACACCTATAGACCGGTGCATTACACTGCAGATCAACGCATGACATGAACAAATTATTTCAAGAAACCTTCGGACATTTTCCCCTCGATGTGTGCTACTTAAACAGTCTAGTAATATTATCATTTCTAATCTTGTCTAATTTAGTATGACCACAAATTCATCTTAGCATCTGTATTTCTTCAACATGCTTCTTGTAAATGTGTTTAACTTTCACGACCCAAGAATCACTCTCATAAAGAATTGTTGGTTTTATAACTATTCTAAAAAACTTACCTTTCACTTTGGTAGGCATCTCTCTATCATATAACACCCAGCAACACTGTTTTGTTTCAACTATTCAATTCTGATTCTATTTGTAATATCTTCATCTGTCATTTCATTCACCCAGAAAATTGCCTGCATGGAAAAAAAACACAAATTTCCTATCTTCTTAACCTTGTTCCTTTATTGCTTGAAGCTAATGACGTTTGAATTAGCAATAACATGAAAACGTGCCCCCTTCATCTTTGGGTGCAAGAATTCATCTCATTCAAGAACTTGCTTGGACAGCGTTACAATCTTTCTTCTCCGGTGAAATCTCGCTGCCGCACTAACCACTCATCGGCCATCTTCTTCACCGGCGCCAAAACTCCCTCTGACTATTTCTCTTTCACTTTCTTGGACCCTGACTCTAGGGTTTTTTGTCACCACCGCAGCTCGTCCATCACTGCCACTGCTCCGGCAAAGCACATCTACTCCAGCGACTCTAGAGTTTTCTTTCTCCATAATTCTGGGTTGGGTCTCAAGTTTCAAGGGCAGCAGCAGAACACGGACCGCTTACCTCCACCAGTGCTCCGATGAAGTACCTCCTATCTCCTCTTCAAGTTCCAGGTTCTATCTTCCCAAATTATTCCAGGTTCACATCAGGTTGCCTTCAGTTTTTGGATTTCAGATTTGTTTTCATTGCTATATGCATATCTAGAGTTATATTTCAGATCTAGTTTTCAGATTGGTTCCCTATATTGTCTTCAGATCTATCTTTCATTGTTAATTGTGTAATATTGCACATCTCTATCTCTTGTTCACTTTGCTCTTGGTTTAACTCTGCCCTCTGACTCTTCGTTTCTTGATCCATAGTGCCATATATTTCATAGTTCTTGTGGTTTCTCTGGTGTTAGTATTTTGGGTGTACCCATATTCTAGAGCTAGTTGCTTCTGTTCATTCTGTATAGTATTTCTTGCTTTTCTTCTGTTCTTATTATAGTTAATTAGTCCTAGACTCTCCGCTTGATTCAATAGTTTTAGTAGATTCTTATTTTGCTTACATCTTGTTTAATTTACATCTCCTTTGGTGGCTTTGGTGAACGGTGGTCGAATAGGATCATGTCCAGGGGGCAAGGGGAAGGGATGGTACATGAGTTAAGTGACCTCATCTTGTATCATGTTGGTTAGACCTCATCTTGTATTATGTTGGATAGCTCATCCGTAGCTAGTGTAAACAAGTATGGGCTCAATGACAATCCCTGGTGTAAATCCATAATTACAAGAACTCCTTCGCATTCCCTACTATAGTTCTCAGGCTAGTGAAGACTCTTTCATACATGTCTTTTATGACTTTTATATATATATAATAGGAATTCCTTTCTTCTCCGGCACGACGACACCCACCAAAGAACCTTTCTTTGTACTCTTATCATATAATTTTTCTAGGTCAATGAACACCATGTGCAAATTTTGTCTACGATAAACTTCCATTAATCTCCTCCACAAAAATGTAGCTCTACTGGGCATACACCCAAACTGGTTATCTATTACTCTTGTGGTGTCCCCAAGTCTATGCTCTATCACTCTTTCTCAGAGTTTCATCATATGTCTCGTAAATTTAATGCCATAATAGTTTGCAAAACATTGAATATCACCTTTATTTTAATAAAAATTGGAATCAAGGTACTCTTTCTCCACTAGTACAAAACGGGAAAAAGAGGAAACAACAAAAACTAGTTTGGTATGTAGTATTCATGGACTGTAGTCTGTACGTGTTCATGAACTATACAAGGCCTTCAATCCCATCCAATGATTTTTTGGAACAAAGTAGGAGTTGTTTACAAACTGGCTTATGGAGATTAGAATATCAACAAAAACTATCCTTCAATAGGATCCACAAAAGGAAGTGACAGACAGACTCACAGCTTATATCTATGCTTCCCAATTTTGAACCATCCGAAGATTCAATGAATGCTTACACTGAATAAGCAATATGCATGTAACATCAGAGAAACTAGAAAATAAGCCAAATACCATGGAATAACTGAATGTTTGGACAACATAATATTAACATTAGATTTGATTGGATGAGGAGAAAGTAATCAACCACAATATTCCATAAGTAAAACACCTAAAAAGATGTTTGAACTTTGGAAAGATGGTCGGTTGTCAGAAAAAATTTGTTAGAACTTCCTAAATATTAATGGTGTCATTCTTTTTTGGAGGAATAAATAGATCTTCTCAAATACTGTCAGAGAAGTAAATCTATATACATGTTCCATAATTCATACATGTGATAGATTGAATACAAGTCTTATTTTTATTGGTTTATACATTCATTCCATCAGATGTCCCAGTCAATTATATATCCAGGGCATGGAAATTTCAGTTAGTATATATCAAACTGACAAAATGAAATCCAAGTAACAAGCCCAAAACTAGATTCCCTTGGGAGGTCAAACTTGTTATTCTAATGAAGTACAGTTAGACTTCACATAGGCTAGAAGTGTCCAAGATATAATAAATGCTATATATCTGCCATCAGCAAATTCATTAACTATACAGAAGACCATACTTCTTTCTTCTTTTTTTCGGTGGTGTCAGGGTCCAACTTAGACACACCTCAACTAATTCCACCTGGATGTTACCTCCCACCAGCACAAGTACCGGGTAACTCTACCCACCAAACATGAATCCATACTTTCATGAATAGAAAATAACCTTGGTAGCACAACCAACATGTTGGCACTGATATCTACTTAGAATGGTCTTCCCCAGTAGTCATAGGAGTCCCTTTGACACAATAAAGGTTAAAATGCAAGGGCTCATAGCCAGCTGCAAATCTAACCCTTTGAGTCCATTACCCACAATTAGTCGATTATTTTGACAACAACACAACAATCGTCTCACAAACTCAAATCATATTATATAAGTGGATTAGATAAGCAAGTATAGACCACACCAATAATTGGGACATACCGCACTTAAGTGGGATAAGAAAAACATGGTGAATCCACAGACAATTGTAACAAATAGCTTTTAAACTCTAAGACTTGGATCAAAGCTTCAAAAAAAAAAAAAACTGGCAAAATATATATGTAAGGAGGAAAAATTCAGAAAATATGTAATAGAAATTTGCACTCGTATGACCTTAAAGGCTAGGAATAAAGCAGGCATCAAAAGCCTTGGTCATGCCACAATGTCATATGGTTTATTTAGGAAACATAGCATATAATGGGCTAAGGTTCCATTGTCGAAAAAAAAGGAGTGATTTGAAGATCTCAATACATCTATCTTTTAGCACATGTTAGACATCAAATTTCAAAATTGTTAATAGCCAATCTGACGAGCTTGTAGTGGCACAACAAGCTCGTTGAGCTCATAGAAAAGGAAAGGTATTCTCCACAGCTCCCACGAGCTCAATCATCAATACAAGCTTAGGATTGTAAAATTATGCAACACCATACACAAGGACAAAACTCCTCTACAAATTTGAAACTGAAATCATGGTTTGAAGCCTTAATTTACAGATTCATCTCCTTGTCGTCCTTGACACTTTCTCCAGAAAGTGCAAAGTCTGAGCCAACACTAGGGTGATGCCCAGATGTTAATCTGATTATCTTTCCTAGGCTGGTTTCAGGACATAGGAGGTCCTCGTCCACCACTGCATATGTCTCAGATCACTCAAGCTATTCATCTTCCAACCAACCTCACTCCATCAGCGAACACTTCCTTTTGATGAAAAAATAAGAATCTTTTGAACTCAAAACGAAAAACCAGAAAACTTTAATTAAAACAATATAATATATATATATATATATATATATATGTCTCATTTTACTTGTATATTTAAGCAAATTAAGAGAATTTTTTTTCATACTACTTCTCGAGCCTATTTGGAATGGCTTAAAAGTTGGCCAAACCTACTTTTAAGTTATTTTTAGTTTTTGTTGTGTTTGACAAGATTAAAAATAACTTAAAATAAGTTTTAAATGACTTTTAAAAAAAAAAGTAAGACTCCCCTACTTTTTAATTTTTTGACTATAAAGTCGTTTAAGTTTGATTTTTTATTTTTTGACTTAAAAGCTACTTGTTTTAAGTTAATCCAAACGTGCTCTTAATATTAAATAACTAGATAAAGTAAGTAATCAAATTTAGAGGTCTAAAATATCATTAATAAAGTTAGTTTTGTAAATACATGTCTCTAATAAAAAATGTTCTTAAAAAGTATATCAAATCAATAGAGGTCAAGTAATATAATACGAATAGAGTATTTTAAAATGGAGAGAGTATCTAATTTCTAGTTATGATCATATATATTTATGTTTGAGCTAAGAATTCGAAAAAACATCTAGCAATATCTTGAAGTAGGATGAACCATAAAATCAACTTAATAAAGTAAAAAAAATATGGCAAATATTCTTTTAGTAGACTTTTTATTATTTTATGTATTGTCCGCTTAATATAAAACTTATAACTAATATTTAATGAATAATAAATTTTGTTGGTTAGATAATTTAGTTGGTTGATACATTGAAGTGAATTTCATCAATTTTTATAAATTGATCCATTCTTTCTTCAATCATTAGGGTTACCACATATTCTTTACATTTTCGTCATTACTGATAACTATGATAATGTAACACTAGAGTAGAGTAAGGATGCCAACAATTTTCAACATACACTTTCGCTCTTTTATATGTGATTATGTCTTCCACTTCAAATACATTTTTTGTACGTTTAAATTAAATTTACATATGATATCAGAGCTTGAAATTTGCATTGATAATCTTCACGGAAAAATAATTCTTTATCTAAAATAATCTAAATTCCAATTACTATTTAAATCGACCATTCGGCCAAGTTCTCTTACAAGTTCAGTGCACTTTTAATCTAACATTTTCTTATTCTCCATCAAAACTTTTCTCTTTCCTCTTTGAAATTTACTACCCAAATTTTAATAAAACAAAAGAATTACCAAAATTGAATAAAAATTTATAGAACTTAGATTTGAAAAATATTAATATCAAACTTCACATTTTTACATGAGAAACTGGCCTAAAAGAGTAGCTCTAGAAGCTTTTCAATAAAGACTTCATAAATAGGTTTACTACTCAGTTCGAGCCTTAAACATGACGATAAAGCATTACCTAGTGGTTTTGTCTCTGTGAGATTTTAACATGAGAGCTCACGTTCTTCTCTCACTTCATTGACCACTGAGCCACACCCTTCGTAAATGTGATATTTTTTTTCAAAAAAATATTAACAAAGGCATTGCAGGTATCAAAGGAAACCTCCTGGTGTAGTATCAACTGTAAATAGTACTTCAACTCTGAGTACTTATCACAAAAGAGAAATTATGATTGAAATGAATTCTAATCTTTTGTCTATTAAATTCACCATGGTAATCATATACCACTACACTGTTGAAATCCTGAGTGAACAAAAGCTACTACAGGGTCATCTGTAAAACAAAATTCTTGTACATTCCCTGGGAAATGATTTCCAATGGTAAAACTAATATAACAAGTTGAACACCTAAATTCACTGAGGTTACAATATGTCAATAATCTACATGACATTTCACCTTTGACGTCGTTGAGGATGGCAGCTTCCGCTAAATCATGACTTCACATCTTCCGTTGAATATAGGCATCAAGATGTGAGTAAGACACCAGGCCTCAATTTACTAGCAAAGATTGAAAAGCTAGTGCGCAAAAGCCCAATTCCAACATGAGGATAAGAATGATGAGTAAGACGCCAGGCCTCGCCACTGTTTCGTGCATCACCACTTCTCAGTCTTCTTTCTGCTTAATAATATTCAAGGGATGAATTTCAAATGACACTTTTTTCGAGAAAATTAAATCCTCAACTGCTGAGATGTGTGATGCATTGACAAACTTAAAGAATAAAGAAATAGGCAGTGAATTAAAAGTACTCCTATTAGCCAGAGCATCATTCTACACTAGAAATACAACGTACTCCCTACAGCCTTCATTTATTTGATCTAATTCATATATGGGTCTTTGAAAAAGATAAAAGTAACTATACAGAGGAAATATATACAATCTCCGAGATTTAACTTTACTTTCCATGGCTACTAAACCCAAGAGTGAGGTCTTCTCCATTAATCTACCATTTGAACAAACCAAAACAAGTTTTATTATAATGAATCTCAAACAAGTATTTCATAAGTGCTTCAGCTTCTATTCTGTGTTCAAACTGCAATTGTTAAGTGTCTTGTTGGCAGCACCTACTGATACTATGTTCATCATAGGCATCTTTGCCAAAACTTCTCATAGTCAATGATCCCAGAAAACCAAGGTAGAGAAACTAGATGTCAAGGCACGCATGGAAGCAGACTTGACATAAATATAACAAGCAAAAAAATCAGCTAAACACAAGTAAAATACTATTGATTCTAATGAACTTCTCCAAATAACAAGTTTGATGTATCTTTAGAACCAACTAAAATATTACCGTTGATAATGAGGTGAAGATGGTTGATCAGGGGAAGACCGTTGCCCAGAGACTGCATGAAATCTCTGTTCTTCAATTGCTCCCTTTGGTCGACTTCCATCACCTGGCTGGGCTTGTTCATTTGTACCTGAGAAGCCTACTGGACCCATAGACCCAAACTCAAGCTGTTCTCCATGTGAATTATTATAAGTAGAATTATGGTCGTATGGATAGAACATTACAACTGGAGGGCCACCAGGTCCATTTGAAGACGCTGCACTAGGGTTCATTGATGATAAAGGATACATGCCATACACCATATTGGGAGGGACACTTGGGCTTGAGTTTGCATGCAATGGACCATTTTGGGACTGATATGAAGGGAAGGAGTCGTGTCTATGAGAGGAGCTCCATGACCTGTCAGTTCGGCTCTCACTGGACACTGGACGATCCAATCTTGAGTTTACTTTCTCAGATTGGCTGCGGTTGTAGTTGCGACCACCAGTACGGGATTTTGAATTAGCATTCCAGTTCCCCTCTCTGTCACCATAATTATCGTTTCTGTCATGGTTGTAACTCCCCCTTCTTGTACCAGGAGCATGTCGATCCCTGACTGAAGCCTTCTGAAGAAACAGTCAAATCGCAAAAGGTAAAATATCCACTAGAAATGACAGTACCATACATCTAAGTAAACATGATTTTATACGGCAAAACACAAGAGTAAGCACTGTGAATAGACAGGAAATCTAGTTTCACCAACTGGAAGACCAGACCAGGGTGATGTATCTGAGCTTCATGGACATAGAGTTGGCAAATGCTCATTGAACCCCTCAGCATCAATTGAAAGACGTGATAAAGCAAAGCGGAGTGAGGCTTTCCACTTACAAAAAAATACTGTCTTAATACTCGGAACAAGCATGGCTCTTTTTTAAAAAAATTAAGTAAACTCAGGACAAGCATAATATCCAAATCCCACCAGTAATATAAGCATCTCTTTGTAGTAATGTAAAATTATTGTTTGAAAAGCAACTAGTGAAACATTGAGATGCTTTAATTGATCCAATAGTCACTCTTGGGGATCTGAAGAAGAAAAAAGGCTAATAGACAAGTGAAGACAAAAATGTGCAAGTATTCTGCATGCATTTCATATAATAATATAGCATGTACCTCTCTCCAACCACACTTATAGGATCAAACATACCAAGGAATAGAACAATATCAATCATAAATAGGTATTTTTTTAGCAACTTTCTTACTGGATTTGGCAAATATGTTCCTGTCCCGCTACGATATCTCGGTATGTCATCCACATAATGTTGAAACATATTGGGAGGTCTATTTGAAACAGACTGTAGCGGTGAAATGGGTAATACACGAGGACCATAGTTCATCAGCTGAGTAAAAAGGTTCATGTTGGCTGACGACGGTCTTCCAGGACCATCCCATGGGAAACGACCCTGTAAGTATGCAGGTGGTACCATAACAGGAGAAGGATAAACAAGAGGCCCAGGTTGCCTTGGATTTTGGCAAAACCGTCCATATTGTAAATTTTGCCAATGACTAGCAAAGTCACTGTTAAGTATATCAGACTTGTGTCCACCAGATGCTTCTATGGAAGTAGCTCCTCTAATAGCATGGGAAGTATTCACATTTTCAGTGTGATCAAGACCCTCAGACAGATCAAGGTTGTGGCCTAAATCACGATTATCAAAGCATTCTTCTCTTCCAAAGTGGCTGGTTGATGCATCAGGATATACTGGGAGCATTGTAAGAAAGGGAACTGGTGGTCCGGTGGGATAAAATGCAAAAAACCCAGAATTATCAGTCATTCTTTGCCGAGAACCAGGCCCTATGAGCATTGGTGCAATGGGCATTATTGAGTCGGATCCACTTGTCTGAGCACCTTCGTATTCAGGCAGATGATGCCTTGCAATGTGCATGGAAATAATAGATTGAGGTACTTGGCTTCCCTCAGCCATTTCAGTACCCAGGGTTGACACTGAGTTCCAATCCTGATCATCCTCCTCAGCATGGTTAGAGATATGGTCAGACATCATCTTACCTTTTCCATAACCAGTAGTTGGCTCTGCAGCACCTGTTTTATTTCCCTGTCTTCCCCTTGTTGACTTTGTACTTTTAGAAGAACCATCCCAAGAACTCTCAGAAGAGGTTTTGCTTCTCACAGAACTACTGTGAGCAGTGGTTGAGAACCTTGAACTTGCCAATCTTTCTTCAGCATAAACATCCCTCATTCTGTTATCCTGAAAGTGAATATCATCAGAATGTTCTTCCTTGGTTGGCCCACGTTTTTCCTTTGTATGCTTCTGCTGAGCTCTAGTACTAGACCTACTCACCCAAGAGGAAGGAACAAAATCAAAACCTGACTGGACTGCATGTGGCTTATCATCACATTGAGGTGCTTCATAATTTCCATTTTCTGCGTCAAATTCAACGGTGGAGCCTGCATCTGGCTCATGCCAGATGTCTTTGATCACCTCACCTGAGTTCATATCCATAGAACTAAAGTTTTCACTATTCCGGTCAATTGTATCTTCAGAAGATGGACTCAACCCGAGACCTGGGATGTAATGATTTAAGTGGGGCGAAATCATACCATGAGGAAATTGCATATTGGAAAATGCAGGATCAACAGGAAAATTAGCTGAAACTAATCCCGGAAAATTTCGTTGATTATATCCCATTGAAGCCAGAACGGAAGGTGAGATAGGGAAAGGCAGTTGGGCTGAAGCCCAATTAAATGGCAAATGAACTTGTCCATTAAAACTATGGAGTGAAGTCGATGCCATCAGGTTCACAAGATCTTGCTCATCCTGATGCATCCCCTGTGTACCACCAGTGAATGAAAACTCTTCATTCGGAGCATCTAAACCTGCATCTTGGTTAAAGCTATTTGATCTACTGTTGGAGTCAGCGACGGCATCAAGACTTTGATGAGATGGAAAATGTCTGATAGATGATGCATCATTGTTTAGAGATCGACCACTCTGACTTGCTAAATTTTCAGATCCTTGATTCTTCCTCCAGTTCCTGCCATCCTGCCTCAATGGAGTCGGTTGCATTTTTGCAGTCTCTGGAGTATTGCCATGCTTTCCTTGAGAAGTAACTTCACCATATGTGTCAGTCAGTTCAGGACTAGACCGTGTTCTAGAAAAAACAAACTTACCCTGTGTGTCATTCACTGTTTGATCAGATCTCAAATTTCTCTGACTTTTCTCAGAGCGTACAACCTGAGAGGAAGTGACCTCCTTTTTCATTTGATCAGATCCCCTTGAGGTGCTCAAATTTTCATAACTCTTTTGGCTCTCAGTATAAGATGATTGAGCTGAATCATTCATTCTAGAGAAGCTTCCAGCTAAATGATTACCATGTTGAGAGGAAACAATCCGTGATCCAGTTCCTTCCACCTCAACATCATGACCAGAAGATTTTTCATTCACCTTTTTCTCACCAGAGTTGACCCTCAAGTACTCGGAGTCAGGTAGGTCATCGAGTGATGCCAATCTCGGGCACAACTCATCCCCAGGTGCATCCGGCCTTTGACCACTGCCATGCCTGTCCCATGTATTCATAAAGAACTGATTTACTTCATGAATGACATTTTCTTCGGGGCAGTCCAGTAATCTTGCCAGTCGTTTGGCACCAAATCCAAATGCACTCCGTATCCTATAGAAGTTACCTGTCAACAACACAAATCATATCCACATGAAGCAGCAAAAGAATTCATGCCAAAACCCCATTTCGGTGCAAAGTACTAAGAACCATACAACTGGGTCTTTTAGAATTAAGTGAATAGTGTCATAATTAGTCAATAGAAGTTTGCCTAAGACAACAAGCAATAGATAAGGCAAAAGAAATAAAATTTTAACTCTTTGCTCTTCAAAGGCACTAGCAAACATTTTTCTAGGGATCTACACAGAAATTTAAAATAAAAACCTTCAAACTACCCAAGACTCACATCTTGTTCAAAAGAATTACATTGCATAACATGGAGCATACAAAAACTCAAAAGGAAATAGTATCAATAGATGCATGAAACATTTAAACAAAAATCATTGAAAAGAGAGTAACAAAGGGAGTGAAAGAAAATTGATTTCCAACACCCAACCCACCCCACCCCACCCAAAACAAAAATAAAGAAGCTTCTCAATGCATCTCTTAGCTATTCATCAGTAACCAAAACTGACAGGAGTAAACAGCAAAAAGAACAATACATAAATATAAATATCTACAACTGACCACAGAACATAGATTTCACTAACATCAGATTGAAAGAGAAAGGAACCCCGTACAATGCCCTGCTTGCAAACCTTCCAATTAAATACACCAAAGACAAATAGATTATTATTCTTTTGGATTGGTTTGATAGAAATGAGCTTTTATAAACCAAGAAAAGTGAAATCAAGAGAAAAACTGAATTGCAACTAAATTCAAGTAAATCTTCACAAGCTAAGACCCCATAGGTGACATGCCTAAATAAAAATATAACTATGGAAACTACTTTGAACAACAAGGGATGTCATTAAAAACTTTCAAAGCTTGAGTACCTTTACTCACACTGCGGCCAAGGTTGTTGTTTACTCGTAAAGGATCAATCACATTAAAATGCTTAGACATAAATGGTTGTCCTTGGTTTTCCTGGCCAGCAGGGAAAACAGCATATACAGAGCTACAGGCGTCAAGAAACAATTTGCTGAGGAGTAATTCGCCACTATCCTTTCGAGGAGGTTCCGCTGCATGTTCCAACTACACTTAAGCTAACAAATAAACTCACAACAAAGTAGAGAAACTGAACTAAAAGTGACTCTTCTGCATATCTTTACCAGTGACATCAGGAAGCGAACTAATTGGCACAGGTCCCCACAAGCTAACACAAAAGTTGTCCCAGTCAAAGTTGCTGAAGAACTCCAAGAAGCGATACAGAACCTGCAAGTATAAATACAAAACATTTTTTGAGAATGAAGTAATAAATACAAAACCATAAAGTTTACAGATGATGAATGCAGCACTAAGAACACCTCAAAATAAAAGAAAACAGAAAGAGAAAAAAGCAAAAGTTAAAACTTAGTAACCTCAAGCGGCCCAGCAAACGAATTGTTGAACATGTGAAATATGTAAAGAACTAAGGTCTCCAAAGCATAAGTTGAAATAAGACCGTGATGAGCACCCAGTAAACGGCTCTCGTAATAACACCATGCCTTAATCAAAATAATGCTGCGCTTAAATAAATGATTCTGGTTTATCAGATGATCGACCTGCAAAAGATGAACAACGTAAAGATTTCATTTCCTTTTCTTTTTTTTGGAAACTGAAAATAAAATGGTATATTAATGTTATGAATCAAATATCAGGTTTTTAACAACGTAAGAAGAAACTACATACCTCCTCAAGGAAGCAAAGGGTACACAAACCCCCTAGCTGATTGAAAGATATGTCAACCACTATATTTTCAACTAAACATTTTATTAACTTCACCTGCAATAGAAAAGGGGAAGAGAACAATGAAAGGTGAGTCCAAACAAAAATAAAGAATATAAACGGTTATGGTGCAAAGGAATACAAATGAAGAAATGTGAAGTATAACAACCAAACTTAAGCAGCAATTGGCTACTCTAAGTATCATAATAAGGACAACAATATAAATAAATGATTGATTGTTCATGTTAAAATATTAGCTACTAATCCAAATGACATTTCAATAACTCAAATAAAAAAAGCCTCTTCCTTAACACTATAATATACTCATTAACCAAGCGCAATCCCCGGTAAAAGTGTTAAGTACAACTACTTATCCAGTGTAATCCCACAAGGGTCTGGGAGGGTAGGATGTATGCAGACCTTACCCCTACTTTTCTGGGGTAGAGGTTGTTTCTGATAAATCCTCGACAGGTAAAAGTGTAGATTGAGGGAAATAACTCAAAACTTGCAAAAACATCACAGAAACCTATGCCATTTCCATGAGAAAGTCCCCAAGGCGCAAGAAATAGCATATATAGTGCCAGGTGTTACCAAAAATATGAAGCTTACATCAGTGAAAAACTAAATTACACTCAAAGACACCAATTGGAAAGATCCACACCAGTAGGATACAGTAACTGCAGGATACAGAAGCCCTCCAGCTAGCTCAAGAAGATCCCATTGACAGTGCTAGACAAACAGACAGACTAACAAACAGAACAAGGGGGTAAATAAGACGCCCTTACACCAATGCTTACATAAATAACACTATAACAGCATCACAACTGAGATCTTTCATCATTCTTTTTTCTGAGTCATCTCTCATCATTCTTAAAGCAATGAACTAAGCCGATGAAGGAATACAAGTTCTCAATTTCCTGCTCTTGATACTGAAAACCTCAATCAAGCGATACATATGCCATGCTAATTAGCAATCAGGCAGCACAGATGAGTCTTAAAAAATGCAAGAGTGAAATGTTTCACTAAATTTACAACTCTTAACATATGAGATCTAAAGAGAGTCACAGACAAGACATTTGACCAATGCATATTTCTCGATGAATGGTACAACAACATACCTAGTGTAGTCCCACAAATTTATCTTGGGGGTTTACATATACTCATAATTGTTGTTATAATTATTATTAATAATTAAAATTGAGAAGGATTTTTTTATTGAAAAAATCAAGTGGGGTTTGGGGAGGGTAGAGTGTACGCAGACCTTGCCTTTGCTCAGAGGTGAAGTAGAGAGGTTGTCTCCGATAGACCCTCAGCATAAAACAAAAACGGTCTAGAAAAAGGCATAATGGAAGTACAAGAGACAATAGATGGTAATAAAAACAACAGATACTAGCAGATAGTACTACAACTAAATAATAATATAATTTAACTACACGAAACAACAAATATTAACATGAATCGAAGAACAAGAAACTACAAGTGTAATACTACAACTACTAGTAAGGGCAACAAGACAATGCACTCCTACCTACTAGTATGGATGCACTCCTACCTACTAACTTTCTACCTTTATTCGTGTCCTTCACACCTTCCTATCTAAGGTCATGTCATCAGTTAGCTGCAACTGTGTCATGTACTGTCTAATCACTTCTCCTCAATACTTATTTCGTCTACCTCTCCCTCTCCCTCTCCCTCCAAGCACCTCCATAGAACCTCCCTAGGGACTTTGTCATAAACCTTTTCTAGGGCGATGAACACCATGTAAGTCTTTCCTCTCCTTATACTGCTCCACCAGTCTCCTTACGAGATGAATGGCTACTGTGGTCGAGCAACCAGGCATAAATCCGAATTGGTTCTCAGAAATAGTCATGATCTTCCTCACCCTCAACTCCACCCCCCTCTCCCAAACCTTCATAGTGTGACCTAGGATCTTGATGAATGGTAAGTTTACCATGATAACAAATCATCACGTGAAAGAACGATATATGAACAATGCAATCAATTCTTTGACTTTCTGTTAACAAATTGATAAGAGAAAAAGGAATTCTTTCAGCATGACATTAGCTTTTATTCTCAAAGGTCAGAAGAAAATGAGAATATATAGATATCATGGTAGACTTCATTTTCTTTATGATATTCCTTTAAGGCCCAAAGAATGCAGATACCATTCAGGTCCAATATAAACAACAAAAGAAACTATTTTCACCCATCTATTGTTCTCAAAATTGGACGAAACCTGAACAGAGGTCTCTAACACACTTTAACTCTGTCACCATGATGTAATTCCGATCACTGCAGAAAAGAAACCCTATATACATCACCTGTTTTATCCTACTATGCACTGATGCAAGAAAACTAAGAGCAGAACAACAACAACATACCTAGTGTAATCCTACAAGTGGGGTCTAGGGAAGGTGGGGTGTATGCAGCCTTGCCCTATATTGTGAAGGTAGAGAGGTTGTTTCCAATAGATCCTCGGCAACAAAACTAAAAGCACATTAAATGCAAATTCTAAATTAAACGGAGGTTGTGTAGAAGACATACTTCAGCTTGAATGTATTGAACCTCCTTGACACGAAATTCAGCATTTTCATTTTTCTCCTCCTCCTCTAACATATCCCTAACCTGATAAGCCCATGTATCTTTCAAAGTTTGATTATTACTGAAGGCAGTTAAATCAATGTCACCATCAGGAAGGTAAGTCTTCAAGGGTACTGAACCAAAAGTGAAAACCTGGAAAGTGTAAGGTGATCAAAAAAACAAATTAGCAGCAAAAAGTCTCATATAGCAAGCCACAACAGAATGCCTGTATATTATCTTTCCTTTCAGTAATAAAAGTAAGAGGACTAAGTACTGCATGGCAACTCTTTAGACTTTCTTTTACAAGGAAAGCGTACAACCAGAATGAATTGACAGTCAACTGCATCATAAACACTAATGCTAAAGATTCACTTTATCACCATAAAGATAATCACTTTCCTTCATCAATGAGATACAACTATGTTTGTCATGCTATACTCTGTCAATCGTTAATGATTATTCCATGTTTTTTATTGCATTGCTACATCTTTAACCACTCCAAACCAGCAGTCCTCTTAGCACTTCTTTTCAACCACCTCCACTACATACATTTCCATCTCCCACTTCAGAACTCATTCAGCTTCATCAATGAGCTATTATTCTTATATCTATTCAACTTCCTTAACTCTTCAGATAAATGAAAAAGGAAAAACGAAACATCCCCAAATCCACTGAAATCCTGTATTTACTCTCCCAGTTAACACTTAACATAACGCTTATTTACTCTACCAGTTTCAGACAGCATAATTTGCTAAGCAAAGCAGACCAATCCGCTCTATAATTTGAACAAGATATTAAGTCATTACAAAAGTTAAAACAGTTTTATCTTGGCATAGTCTCAACCAATGTATACTGAAGCACAAAAGTCATTGAGAATTCAATTTTTTACATTTCTTGAGAAATCTAGGTCATATCACAATGATCAGCCAAATATTGCATATGAAACTTCTAAACAGCTATTGTTATCAAGAATACAGCAACACAACCACCAATACAAAATTTCAAGATAACCTGACAAGGGAAGCATTTCATAATGAGCCGCTGGACGTAATCAGCAACAGCATTTCTCCTCTCCTCAGATGGCCGATTAGGCTGAATACAGACAATTAACTCATCAGTCCTTTCCTCAGCTCTCGACCATCTTTCCGAGTCAAGGACTCGGATCATTGGTTCTGCATTGGGCAATAGCCCGTTCGGCAATAGCCCACTTGGCTCTGCCCATCCCTCATGTTCTCCCATACACCACTACTTGGTTTAACCCACTAAAAAAACTAAAAAATTTCACCTTTTTTTCAAATCCAATATCTATCTACCAACCTTTCTGCTAAACTAATAACTCCACTAACCAGGATAGCCAAAACAAGTAAACTTGAATACCAACAGAATCTAATACTTCATCTAAAACAAAAAAAAGAACATTTTTCGACCCCAAATAATTGAAAATGAAAAGGGGTAAAGGGAAACCCTAAAAGGGTAAGAAAAAAAGAAAGCTGCGATAACACTTCTTGATCAAGCGATTCAAATGGAAATGGATTAGATAAAGAAACCCCAAATAAAAACTTGTTCTTTATTAAAAAAAAAACCTAAAAAACCAAAACAAAAAACCCAGAAGCTTCTTCTTCTTTCTATGTAATAAAGATGGAAAGTTTCATTTCTAGAAGATTACCAGGATCTTGAAAATCCAGATAAGCAAAAAAAAAATATTAAAAAAAAAAAAAAAAAAAAAA